CTCTTGCCTACCCCAAAAATTTATGATTTCACCCATGATGAAAGGATCATTGAGTTTGTGGCATTCATATCAATACATCTCCAACTTGACTCATTACAAAACATATCTAGATTGGCTATGGAGCATATGGGAAGACGGTGATCAATAGCCACAGTTATCGCTATGCTGCGTGAGATCCCATAACCAACGGACTTCTGTGGCTGCCATTCCATACAAAACGAGACTGTCAACGAACTCATCGGCAGTTTCGCTTGTAGACCATATTCTTTCAATCTCTGTAATGGTATCCTGGGTATACCCATGGGCACCTAGGTAGCGGCTGGCATGCTTCCCGACGTTGTAGATAGCATATTCCGGAAGACCAGATGTGGAACCATAGACTGTGTCCACAATCCCTGTAAAGCCCCGGATGTGAGAGTGAACAAGGCTGCTTGTTTTTTGGTATGTGTATATTTCTGCAAAATCTGGATGGGAAACAGTAAGTCTTGAATAGGAATTCAAAATGGGGGGGCCCAACTTTTTGAATCCACATCTTCATTGTGCGTACGGGATGCATTAATCAGCGCCAATGTCTTGTCAGGATCTCCTTTCATAACCATGAACACTAAAGCTTCTGTGATCGAGGCGAACTTTCGCCACTTTGGGTAAGAGTAGTCATGAATCTGCTTTTCCACCTCTATGCTATATAACAAGGCAAGGTAATTGACCAACGTGAAAAGGATGAGGAAATTTACTCACAAATCCTTGACATAAATTGCTCGTTGTGTTTTACCTCTCCAAACAGCATAAAAGGGCCCTTGTGCCGCAAACAGGTCGGGAATATCTCTTGCCCGGAGAAGCGCTTTCGCAAACACCTCAGGTTCTTCATCTACTTTATGGCAGTTGAAGCGTCTAAATAGTGGCTGGAGACCCATGGCAGCATTGGCCTCCGCTGTGGAAGTGCACTTGATGACAATGGGCATAATTGGAGCTGTGTGGCTGCCAGCAAGAAAGGGCCTGTTATTCTCATTGAGAATATAGCTTATGTATGTCAAGCTGAGAGCCTACGGATTTGAAACAACAGCGGGATTGGAACCACCAAGCACGGCGTAGACTCGCTGTGGACTTGTTGCCGATGTCGACATGAAAGAACTTAAAAGCTTCCCGATCGAGATCTAGATGGGCTGATCCCGGCTGATCAGTGATCGATCATCCAGGCGAGAACCTTGCTGATCTAAGGTCCCCGGAATCATGATCCGATATCCTCCGAAACCTGCCACGACCATGACCAAATACCAGGTTGACCCTGTTTCGAATTCAGGAAACCCTCGACCGAGAAGCCCGAAACCTGATAGTGGCCATAGTTGGGCCATAGCCATACTTGTATTCGGAATTAAGACATTCATCAGCCGTATATACGCGTACGTATACATGTACAACGAATTCATAAAGCAATGGAAAGTACAAATACAAACTTCTTGCTACATATTTTCGCCAAAGAAATCGTCAAAAGAATCGACTGCCTTGCCTTTGCCCTTCCCCTTTCTCTGGTGCTGCTCAGCAACTGTGTCCTGTTGTGACCGAGAATCTCCAATATTTGCTGATATAGCCCGTATGATTGCCTTCAAGGAGTAATCTTGTACGGGTTTGGTCAAAACTGTTGCCCTACACATAGGGCAAGTGTATTTGGGTCGTGCGTGCACCGCTTCCAAAAGGTTTCTGCCTAGAAAGGACCGCGTTCAGTAATAACGTATCTCTGGAATTTGGTGACATTACCAAACCAGTGGACCAGACAATGCAGACAGAAAGCATGCCCACATCCACTGAGTCTAGTGTTGGGTTTCAGTGCTGGTGCTGGGAATTACCCCAAGTCAGAGGTAGTACCCACATGTAAGGTGTCCACATCGTCTTCACGCAGAGTTCACAATTGATATAATCTTGGACTTGCGAAAGATCCTAGTTACATATAAGCAAAATTCATATTGTTCCCCAAAAGAATGAAACGTTAACATACCAGAACAATTTTACCGTATAATGAGCCTGGACCTTCTCTACCTCGGTGTGCCTGGTTTATATCCCCTTCAATTTCCTCGAGCAAGGTAGAACATCTCTCCTGGAGAGTCCGAATTTCTTGCTTCATCTGTTTTATAGGTGATACGTATGCTGATGTTTGTTGGGGTGCTTGTGTTTCATCATCCGAGGATAATATTTCGATGTATCGTTTTCTCTTTGAGGTGCGTGCTGTTTTATTGACCGCCACCAAAGGAGTTTCACTTTCGAATTCATCGCTGTCGGACAAGATGATGACTTCCTGATGTGGCGACATGGTAGGTGGTACTCGCGATCGTTGATCATGATCATGAATTCGAAAGCGGTTTTGTTTTGTTTTCTAGATCGATGACGAATTGTGATTATGACTTGAAGTGACTTGATCATGACGATGATCCGAACATGCACAGCCACGTCACACACCGCGGATCATGATATCGATGGCTGATGGAGCCATATTAATAGGCCATATATATATAGTCTCATATACTCCGATCGGATCCGCGGCTCCGGAGGAGTTCAAACCTTCGATATCGGGTCTTAAAATTTTGAGATTCCCCCGAAAGGGAATTTCCAAACCCCCCTATGAGCGTTTTTTTCGTTACTTATATGAGCGTTTTTTTCGGTGTTTATTATAGTTGCAGCTCGTTAGCGTGTACTTTTGCTGCAAAAAAGCGGTGTTCAGAAGACTCAAGTTGCTAGTCAGAAGGTCGAACTCTGAACTCGGATTTGATGGCTTTACTGCATTCTGACAGATCTGTCTCACGCTTGATGCTTCTTGATGCGCCTCTTGCCCGTCGCCCAGCCCGCCCTTTTCCTGTTTCGCATAGCTGAAGATGCCAAATTTGAACTGAAAAATACACCTCTAGATGGGCATTGACCTGATCACCTGCTTCACTAGTTCACATGCTGCATTGCGAAATTAAAGCCAACTTGCGGCCTTTTCATTTCCATAGCTTATGTCTGGCCAGTAGCAAACGGTTACAGATGAGCCCATCCTGGCCTGACATAAATGTATTGGCCTGGCAGGGTCTGGCTGTCCCTCCAGTTCACTACAGCTTGATCAGGGTAACCTATTGGCAACCTCTTGCCTTTTTATGCAGAATTCCCAGCCGAAAAAATGCCCAAGAGCGACCAAAGCCATATTCGTTTCTATTAGCCTACAAGATGACCATACCAGTCCCACCACCAGTGATTTAATTTGCGAATGGTTGAGTTCTCCAAGATAGGGGCTTTTGATGATCAGTTCCCGTTTGGGCCGTCGGAACAGTTCGGCCCGGACGAAACCTCAGACGTTCGACTTCCGTTCAGACCAAATTTGGACCAAAAGTACCGACTTAATAAACGACGATGATAACCGTCATACGGATCCCCTCCGGATCACGAGTCCCCCATCAACGTGACCGAGCACAAACGACGAAATTCAAACGTTAACGCGTACGGCGCCACCTGTACAACATTAATGCCGCGTACACTTTTTGCAAGCGGCCCTGTCTCTCCCATCCCTGACATCCCTGATAACTTCTGCTTGACATGCGCTCAACGACTCGACTTTCCCCCTTCTGTGCTCAGGCTCAACTTGCCTTGTACCATCTGCGGGCAGGATTGTGCCACTCAGTGGCGGCTGGCGTTGGGAGAACAAATGAACGCGTCTAAAGAAAGGATTAGGTCCCTGCAGCAACGGTTTCCTTATATGCTGTATTCAGAGTCCAATGGCCCTCGCAGCATACCGCGCATCGTCCCTCCTCCAGGTGCCGCTGACGCACCAGTCCCCGTTTTGTACCAGTCTCTTTCGCTACTGCTCGCAGACCTGAATAAGCTGCTCAATACCCCGCATGAGCAACAGGCCTTCCACTTCAAAGGCGCGTGCGCAATTGTGGCGGACTCAGCTGTTGGAAATGTTGCGAGGTTAGTAGTGGTCGCGTGGGAGATCATTCAGAAGACAACGCTGGCATTCGAGTACGTGCTGGCCTTCCTTTTTTTTGGAGGGTTGTTCTGGTCACCTTTTCTAAAATTACCTACTAACCCTTTGCCCCAGCATCAACACCCTCAAGATCCAGTCAAACCCGCGCTCTGCGCTCGTCATGACGTCCTCTTCCGCCATCTGGATGGGATTACCACCCGACATGCTCACCAAGGCCGCACTGCCGTGCCGCCAGTGCGAGCACCTTCTCACCATTGGCATTGATCCGTGCATGTCGGGGTCCATCAGCTCTGCGGGCCCTGCTCTTGCGACATCTGATTCCAATTCTTCGACAACACCCCGACCCCAGATCAGGGGTCAGCGCATCGCGATCACGCTCAAGCATTTCCCTACCTGACAAAAGTCTTGGGCGAGTGGATCTTGGATGATGTGGTTCACAGTAGAGGGATACTGATCATGAAGCGGGTCTCAATGAGAACATAGTAGTTTTATCAGCCTATGATAGTTGGATGTTGACCAACGAGCCAGTGTAGCAATCCTGTTTTGGAACGGATGTACTGGGTATTATTAAAATCCGGCGCAAATAAGAAAAGGAATTCGAAAAAGGAAAGAGGACGGAGCGAAAGCGTGAGCTCCGTGGAACTCACTTAACTGACACGGAACATGTACAGGCATCCATAATGAGGGTAATCTACTCCTAAACCACATTTACCACAGCGTTTCGTCGCCCGGAACGTCGATACAATTTTGCCTGCACAGTTTGTAAGGAGAGCCTATGGGGCTGAGTTAACGTTGAACAGCCGATACCTAGGTTTTCTCGCATCAACTACTAGTACTAGTTGCGAGCAGAGTTCGGTGCACAAAAAGTTCGGCGCGACTCCACACTGGTTTATCTTCGGCCCGGAAATAGGAAAAAGCTACTTGTCTTTGAAGCTTGAGCATGAAAGGCTCATGATCATCATACAACTCATGCTCACAAGTTCTTTCAACTTACTCCTTTTTCAAAGTCAGAGTCACATAAATCAGCCCTAGGAAGATTTAGAGAAGTGACCTGGTAGCACAGCGGTTAGTGCGTCTACTGAAGTTATATGGCAGGGCAGTACTATAAGTAGAAGACCTCCGTTCGACTCGGGGTCAGGTCTTTGAGATGGGATTTCTTTTTCTTCTCTGTGCTTCCATTCCCGTCCGTCTTCGATTCGAGCTCTCATTTTTTGAACCCAATTCTCTCTTTCTCATTGCCCTGGACAACATATCTTCCTCTTTCGTAAGGTCGCGTCTTGACTCTTGATCATGACCAGCGCCAAATAAATTTGCAAAACGTGCACTTTTTCGTCCTGACATTAATGTAAATCTGCCGGCGCCAGACGTACTAGTACTGGATCGTTGTCATTTTCCGGGGTGTGCAGAGCTGATTAACTTAACTCTGTGGAAGAGACGCAAAGTCAACCCCTAGGCCTAGGGCGATGTAAACGCAACCCGATACAGGCAAGACAATGTCGGGCTAAGGGCAATCCCTGTACATGTAGTACTATTAGTGGTCATGATCATGAACGGGATGAGTCGAATGCATGACACAAGATTGGATGTGCGTAGTTAATGGAAACACCGTCGCAGATCGCGATCAAGCACCGTGCAGAGGCCCGCCGCAAGTTAACATGCGATGTTAGCAGGTCCCTTTGGCGAGAGGAGCTGCCCAAATAATCATGTGTGGAAGCGGGCGTGCACGACACATACAAGATCTGGATGTGCGCAGTTAATGGCCAACCGCGATCAAGCACCGTGCATAGGCCCGCCGCAAGTTAACATGCGATGTTAGCAGGTCCCCTTGGCGAGAGGAGCTGCCCAAATAATCTGTGTGGAAGCGGGCGTGCATGACACAAGATCTGGATATGCGTAGTTAATGGAAAGCCTTGCGGTCCTGGATTTGGCCGGGGCGGAGATTTCTGGATCCTGAGCGAGGAAGCAGATGCACTCGGCAAGCCAATGGATATCGTCCCGCTGAAAGACAAATGGCGGCTGAGACTGTAGGAAACGAGCGTCAGGACAAACAGAAAAGAGATCGTTGCACACAACCCACCAAATATCCAATCAAGAGACTCTATCGTTCGTAGGGAGGAGCGTCGCCTCCCACGATCTATTGAAGCAAGCGAACGTAAGTAGAGTCGACGAAGATAAAATTCACCGATACTGTGTTTGGAGCCTTCTAGTACACAGTCAAGTCAGATATCGATCCAACTAAGAGGCCAGTTTAAATAAAGGACGTACGTCTTCGCAGAATAGATGGTTGAGCCTCGCATCGGCGCCCGTCCTCCATAGATCGTCACCTTCTCTGCGCCTCACATTGCCAACTCGACGCCCTCACCCATCCACCCTTGTGTCTCCTCCGTGCATGCCTACATCACCAGCTCGGCGCCCGTCCTCTTATCCTGCCGTACCTCCACCTGCACCTCACATCGCAAACTCGGCCCCTTTATCCTTCTGCCCATGCCTCGCATCGCCGGCTCAGGCGGTCCTGGTTCCATCCCTGCGTCGCTCGTCGCCAAATCGGTCTGCTTGGATCGTTTAGGAGTAGATTACCCTCCATGTCCATATTGGAGAAGGGCGGCTTTGGCACTGGTGCTGAGGCGGAAACATATCGTTCCTCAGTTCGAGGAGCACTGGCCGCTGTGAGTGGGTAAGTTAATGGGGACTACCATAGGGACAAGCCGCACCTGCGTGTGAGGTAACTGTACAGTGAAGGTTGGCACGTTGGTGGCAAGGCGCGCGGAGGACCCTTCCCTCTGAGTTTTGTTCAGGGCCCTACGCGCTCCTAAACGCTTCATGCGGGCAATAGAAGATATACGCGGTCGCGGGGGCGGAGGCTGCAAGGCAGCGGGTGGATTAAAGTAAGCAAGGAGATAGAGATAAGATAGAAAAAAAAGACGCACTTATTGTGATGTAGCCACCCCGTGCCACACTAAGGACCGCGACAAACCGCGCGCGCGCCCAATCTGAGCATTTTGGGCACTCACATCTTTTTCAGCGTTTGAAGTGCTCACATCCGCGTCTTGAAGTCTACACAAAAAAGATTAATTTGAAAAAGAATACAAATCGATGTGCAGGTGTAAGTACTAGTATGCGCGCTCGAGTTCGAAAAAAGGCCATATGACTATGAAATAAAGTCCGTTTTCATGGGTGAGGAAGGTCCCAGCAAAGCGCGCCAAAGAAATAAACATAAAAACCGCCGAGGCGGGTGCCGACAAAACTAGTCTGGCGGGCCGACATAAAGTCGAGCCCAAAAGGGTGCAGGTCGACATAAAGTCGGGCCTGCACCGTCCACTGGTGCGGTTGCGTCGGTCGAGGTCGCTGTCTTGAGCTGTGCTGTCGGGTGGGGGTTGAGGAAGGAGGGAATTCGAAGGGAGGCGAGGTACCGGTGTTAGCGAAGTGCGCTCACTTACATAATCCAAATCTCTCTTTTTCGCCAAATTTAAATCCACGATCACCTCTCATCTAAACCCCGCGCCGCACAACTCGACCGACCCAGGCTTTATGCCGGGTCATTAACCGGAACAGGACTATACGTCGGATCCAGTTAATCTTCTGATTCCAGACTTTACGTCGGAAACGGAAGCTCATGATCATATAGCTATGGCCGAACCCAATCCCCACAGCATCGACCTGCTCCGCAACCGAGCCCGCACCCAAATCCATTCGCTCGACTTCAAGTCAGCGTCCTTGCCAGACTTCCATGTCGGCATGCCAGACTTCAGGTCGGCTCTTGTATGGGAATGCTAGACTTCATGTCGGCTGGCTCTAGCAATCTTGAAAGTGAGTGGCCATTTGTTACGATGCAGGTGGCAACTTACTCACTTTTGGGCACTTTTGTCTTGTGTAGCCAGACTCTCATGTCGGCCCGTTGGATACAGGAATTTCTGCAGCGCCAGTGACACGACCTGGAGATCTAGAGTTTGGCCGGCAACTCAAGAAAAATCAAATCTACGCGACGGGGACACTTTCCCTCCAATTCCCTGCTCCTCGCTCCGCCCCTAATCGCTCCCGGGGACGAACCCAACCTTGTTTGTTCTTTTGGGGGACGTGGTTAGAGGCTGGGTGCGCTGGTTATCGCGAACGTTGGCGCATTCTTGGCGCCGCTCCGACAACCCAAACTTGCCTCGCAGACGTATACATGCGCGGCGGGCACATCCCCTACATGCCACCAACTCGTCTGCTCCAGCCGCCATGGAAAATTCGAATCGCTTCCTTCATCCCACTCGGAGGCCTCCAGCACCCCCAAAACCCCACCCACGCCGAAAGCACATGCGGGGAGCGGTGGGCGCACACTCGATTGTCGTTTTGCCGGGTGGCCCGAGACCCCGCGGCACCGGCGGCGGAGAAACAGTCGAAAAGTGTCGACGGGAGCCACAGTGATGTGGGTGTACCGGGCCGAGTGGCCCGACGTGAAGCGCCATCAAGCGCCCAAACGCATCCGGATCCTCTTCGAGGCCCTCTCCGTCTTCTTGTCCGTCTGCTGGGCTGCCGCACCATTAAATCCCCGGTACGTTCGCATTTGTTACTTGCCTTTTGAAACCATCCTGACGCCGTTTTTTGTCGTCAGAAAAAAGCCGCCGGAGGCCGAGCGCCGCCGGCCTTACAATACCGTGTACATCCGTGCGCTGTGTCCGGTTTTCACGCTCTGCGGAGCCGTCGCGCGGCGGTCAAATACGCGATGTTCGTGTTCCCTGCCACTCAGCTCTCTGCGCTTCCGCACGCCCGTGCGAAAAACCTGCGCCTGCCCACGACGGGGCTCCCGCGGACCGGCGCGACTCGCCTGGTGTACGGCACTCATTGCGCGCGTAGACACACCCGCCGCGTCGTTCGTCCGCGCGAACCAAGTCGCCGGGGGTACAGATGCATCGATGCGACGGTTCTCAACGGCTACGGACTAGCCTCCCCGGCCGAATCCGATCTGCGTTGGGACATGAAACCCCCGCGCCCTCCGTTTCGACCATTTCCTCCACTCGCCTGTTGCCCTCCTATAGGTACCCTCGCCTCCGTTCTGCGGCGCAGAAAGGTCAGCTATCCCATCGATATTCCGCTTTTTTCCGATTTCTGACTCTTCGGCATCCAGGTCGATATCTTGCTTCTCTCTCGCGCGAGGACTCGTTCCGGCGACCCGGAGCGTCTTTGTCGATATACAGAGGTGCGCCTTCTGCCCAAGATCAATTAGCGTGTCACTAACTCGAAATTTTCAGATTTTGATCAAAAACGATAATTCCGACCCATCCCCCCGAAGTTCGGCACGGACTCCCTCGATTTAAAGCGTCTTACCGTCATACGTAGCCGAGACATCGTCGCCGCCCAGATTTCGCCCTTCCGAGGTAGTATTCTGCTTAAAAAATCGGAACTCCGCTTAATCATCTTGCAGAAACGGCCCGTAAACTGTTTCCGTCGCCTCAAGCCGCGCGGAGGCGTCGTCTCACAGCCTTACCTACATACTGGTATGTTCCCCTCGTCCTTTCCGCACACAATATATCTCTGATTCGAAATTTCAGAAATTCAAGTCGCCCGAGACGTTTCGACTTAGCTCTCCGAATTCCGCGTTACCTCCCGAAATTCTGCGCTCTGCGACATCGTCCGGACTGTGCGCATCGCCGCCGGTCCGAGTCTTTCCTTCCGAAGTAATTTTTTGTGCTTGAAATTCGGAAACCTCGTTTTGACCAGCCAACCCCCCAGTCTGGCGGCGCCTTGATGATGAAACTCCTGGCTTCAAGACTCCCGCACGTACTGAATATTACCGGCGCGAACATCCCCGTTCGTCCGTCCAATATTTTCCTGCCACCGGGTCGAGCTGATTCAAGAATTTCGGATAGTTACTCAAAACACTCACTCATTTCGACCTCACCTCCCGAAATTCCGCACTGAGTCCCTCGCTCCCGCATTCCTTATCGTCGTATCGAGCATGCGCTTCGTCTCCGCTCCGAGTCCTTGCCCCGACGTAAGCTTTCTGCTCGAATTTCCGATACCCAACTTGACTTGGTAATCAGATTTGTCGTGGTAAACCGCGATCGGTGGTGTCTGTGGCTGCTTTGAGTCGACTCGGCGCCTCACAGGTACGTTCTTCGTGTGTCATTCTGACTCGAGACTCCGACTCATTCCAATGCAC